AGCAACTGCGTTTAAATATATGGCTTTAACTCATCAAAGTCACAGTATACCTTTAAATAATATTATACAACCTCATGTATATTACCTCACTTATGTGTGTGTGTGTGTGCGCGTGTGTGTGTGTGTCTGTGTATGAGCACCTAACAACAGTATGCTAACATTTCCTCCCTCTTGTCCCTTGTGCTACTGTTGTGGTTACTTTTTTTTATACAAAAGTTATAAACCTACCATATGTTCCTGTTATTTTTGCTTTAAAGAGTTCATCTTCATCATCTTTTAAAGAGATTGAGAGTTAGAAAAAAATCTTTGTTTACCACATGTTTACCATTTCTGCTGCTTTATGTAGATCAAAATTTCTATTAGATATCATTTTCCTTCTGCCTGAAGAGCTTCTTGAACATTTCTTGTCATGTAAGCTTGCTGCTGCTGATTTCTCTCTGCTGGTTTTGTCTGAAAGTCTTTACTTCTTCCTTCACCTTTTGAAAAATATTTTCATTAGCTTTAGAATTCTAGGTTGATGGTTTTTTCTTTCAATACTTAAGAACTGGATGAGATAATAGAGTAACTTTTTTTTTTTTTTTTTTGAGACAGGGTCTTCCTCTGTCACCCAGGCTGGAGTGCATTAGCACCATCCTGGCTTACTATAACCTTGAACTCCTGGGCTCCAGCAATCCTCTGCCTCAGCCTCCCTCCCAAAGTGCTAGGATTATAGGTGTGAGCCAGTGCACTTGGCCAAGTGACTTCTTTAAACTCTTTAAGTCCCTGATTTTGTGCTAGGCTCCCTAAAGTTAAGATGTTAGATGTAGCACCTGTCTTCTCAAGTTAACTGTTTTAGGAACACATTTACCTTTTCCCAGTAACAAAGTCTGATATTGCTGTTGGGCTCATATCAATGTTTCCTGTCTTTTTTTTTTTTTTTTTTTTTTGCCTTGTGGGGTTACACATTGGTCTACCAGCTGCCTTTGACTCTGAGCCTAATATTATTTCCTCACGTTCCTGTGTTTCTCTATGCTCCTTTCCAGTGCACGCATTCTCTTTTACCGACTCAGATATCTAACAGTAAGTTTAAGAGATTAGACCTCTCTGGTTCCTTCCTAGTGCTTTTTCCAGTGCTGTAAAGAGAACCTGGGCATTGGTCCAGATAGATTTGAGCTTGAATTCCAGCTTTCCATTTCCACCAGCTTTATGGCTATAAGTAAATTATTTGAGTCTTAAGAGGCCGTCTGTAGAATTTGAATAATAATGTCTCTCAGAGTCGTTGGGAGGATTAAAGTAGGTAATATATGACAAGTTCTTACACCACATTTGTCACATAATATCGAATACTCACATCGCATGTATTACAGCATATACCCCAATTTACAGATAAGGGACGTGAAGCCTAGTAACCTGCCCAAGTTATATAACTAAGGAGTGGCGGGGAACTAGGAGTGAAACCCAGTCTGGCTCCAGAGCCTATGCCTCTGATTAGAACACTTCACTCCTTTTCTAGGTAAATGTTACTTCCTTCTTTTTGGATTAGATAGAGTTCGACTTTAACAAATGAGTACTCTTGTTTTTTTTTTGTTTTTTTTTTGAGACGGAGTTTCACTGATGTTACCCAGGCTGGAATGCAATGGCACGATCTCGGCTCACCGCAACCTCCGCCTCCTGGGTTCAGGCAATTCTCCTGCCTCAGCCTCCTGAGTAGCTGGGATTACAGGCACGCACCACCATGCCCAGCTAATTTTTTGTATTTTTAGTAGAGACGGGGTTTCACCATGTTGACCAGGATGGTCTCGATCTCTTGACCTCGTGATCCACCCGCCTCGGCCTCCCAAAGTGCTGGGATTACAGGCTTGAGCCACCGCGCCCGGCCAACAAATGAGTACTCTTGACTGGGTGGATGTTGTGGACATGAGGCAGTTAAAGGGTAGCAAAGTAAAGGATATTTCAAGTAGGAAAAATAGCTTTGGAGAAAAAGTGGAAATGCAATGATACAGGAAACACGCTGGGGAAATGACTGATAGGCTGGCAAAGTTGGGTGTGGGCCCTGGGGGATAGAGAAGCATAGTGGGGGATAGAGTTTGTTATGTAGGGTCTAAATGATAGAGTTACTTCAAATGCTGACAAAATTGGTCTGTTTTATTCTACCTAAGTTGACAAACCATTGTGGGAGTGACATGGTCCGATTGGTTCTTTCGGAATAGCTCTTGGATCATTTGGTTGATGGATTGAACTGAGGAGCAACTAGAATAGAGAATCAAGTAGAATGCTCTTGTTCAAATACAGGCATGCAGTAATGAGCTCAACCAAAGGCATGGTTAGAGTGGAAAGGGGGAACCATGGAGGCGTAACAGTTGGCAGGATTCAGGGGATTATTAGATGAAGGAGGAGGAGAAACCACAAAGGGGTCAGCTTTACTAGGCTTGGTGACAAGGAGGAAGGTGATGTTTTCACTGAGATAGGAAATTCTGAAAGGGGAGCACGGTGGGGGAGGGAGATGTAAGAGTTCCGTTTCACATGGATAACTGGCCATTTGGAGCACTTTCTCATTTGTAGGAAGCGGTGAGGTAGACCACCTACGGGAAATTTTGTAGGCCAGTCCTAAGGGAGGAGGGAAAGAAGAGAAGGGCTTAGGTAAAGAGAGGTGGGATTCACAGACCAGAGGCAGGTTCAAAGCAATTTCAGAGGTGAAAATGGCATGGAGTTTTGGGGAGGTCCTGTCAGTAGCTTGGATCAAAACTTTGCTCCCACAAAACCCCTCAACCTCTCTTACCTATCCTTTTTTCCCCAAGTCCTAGTTTGGCCAAGAACTAGCCAATTCTTTACGGAACGATAGAGGCTAGAATTAGGAGCACATGGAGCTGAAGACTAAAGGACCCTTCCTGGATCTTTTGGACTCCTGGGACCTCCTTATGACTGTAGAGGTTGTGGGAAGAGGCCCCGTAATGACTGAGATTGAATCTGCTGCCACCCCTGTGGAATGAGGGCCCACAGCAGATCACGTTTTCTTTAGTTCTAATTTAGTTTAATTTTTTTTTAGAGATGAGGTCTCTGTCACCCTGGCTGGAGTGCAGTGGCACAATCATAGCTCACTGCAGCCTCCAGCTCCTGGGCTTGAGTCATCTTCTAGCCTCAACCTTCCAAGTAGCTGGGACTGCAGCTAATTTAAAAAAATCTTTTGAAGAAATGAGGTTCTATTTTGTTGCCCAGGCTGGTCTCAAACTCCTGGCTTCAAGTGATCCAGCTCCCTTGGCCTCCTAAAATGCTGGGATTACAGGTGTGAGCCCCCACACCCAGCCACATTTTACTTAAGAAAATAAAATAATATGCCACTTCTTACTCCCCATCATATTCAAACTGTTACGTATATTTTGTTTAAAAAGTTGATTTATGCATTTGTTTCCTAGTAGACCATAAAGTAAAAAAGAAGTATATCTTAGGTTATAAAGGTGGACCCAGTGCCCAGCATACAGCTTGGTTTTCTCAATAATTTATTCATTTATGAGTACAGTGAGAGGTCCTGTACCATGTGCCGAATATCCATTTACTCATCAAATATTTACTGAGCACTTACTGTGTGCCAGGGACTGGGCCAAGTGCTGGGAACACAGATTTGAACAAGACTGGCAAGGTCTCTCTCTGCTCTCAAGAAGCTTACACCTTAAATGGTGGACTCAGAAAACAAAAATAAGATACCAAGAAGCTTTCAGGTTGTAGTATATGCTTTAAAGACAATAGAAGAGAGTGATGTGATAGGAAGAAACTTGCAGGGTATCTTTGGATACAGTAGTTGGGGAAGGTACCACTGAGGAGGTGACCTTGACCGTGTGCCTGAGTGGTAGAGAGAGTGGGTCATAAGGTGATCTGGGGGAAGCTGGGATGAAAGAAGGCAGTGGTTAAGCAGAAATAAATAAGTGGGAGAGAACCATGAGATGACAGTGGCTGGGCCAACAGGGGCCAGATCATGGGCAGACTATGGGAAAAAACTTTGGATTTATTCTCTGTGTAATTGTGGGGCATTAGTTGGTGAGAGTGTGGGGTGCTACAGTCACATTTTCTCTTTGCAAAGATCTTCTGGCTATTGTGTAAAAAAAAATGTATTGGGCCAAGTGAGAAGGAAGGGAGGGCAGATGAAGAGGCTGTTTAGTTGGACTATGTAGGACATGGCGGAGGCTTGGACCGGGGGCAGTGGAAATGGAAAGGGGGAGGATTTGGGGTGTATCTGGAAGGAGGTGAAATTGACTGCATGTGGAATGTGAGGAAAGAAATCTAGGGTGACTCCTAAGTAGAATGACCAACCAACCCGGATTGCCTGAGACTGAGGGGTTTCCTGGGACATGGGACTTTCAGGGCTAAAACCAGGACAAGTCCCAGACAAACCAGGGTAGTTGGTCACATTCTTTTAGGTTTTTGGGCCAAGCAATGAGGTGAGTAGCTGGTGCCACATACAGAGGTAGAGAGGACTCAGGGAGAACAGATTTTTCGAACAGAATTCTACTTTGGCTCCGTTAAGTTTGAGATGCTGATTAAACATTCACATGGGTATGGAGTGGGCAAATGTATATACACATCTGAAGCCCAATGGGGAGATTAGATTCAGATAGGAATCTGGGAGCTAGCGATATATGGATGGCATTGAAAACAATGGGGGAGATTACCTAGGGAGAGTATGTACATAAAGCAGAGAAAGGGCTCAGGGTGGAGTTTGGATATGAAACTTCTGAGGGTAAGTCGAGGAGGAGCAGTCATCCAAGGCCTTAAGAAGAAACAGTCAGTGAAATAGCAGGTAACCCAGGAGAACGCGGTGTCAGGGAATCCTAGAGAAAAACAAGCCCCATGAAGGAGAGAGTGGTCAACTATGTCTACTGCTGCTGAAACAAATGGAGAAAGAAAAGTAGATTCAAAGACAGACCCTGCTTCCAAGGAGTTTCAGTGTGATGGGAGGTAGGAAAGTCAATTCCTATACAGCTATGAGTGCTATAGCAGTGACGAGCACAGGACACCAGGAGCCTTACCGAGGGCTCCGTCCTGGGCTGCCTTTGGAAGAATTGGAAAACAGGATCAGGATGGAGAAGAGTTCTCCAGGTCGAGGAAGCCACAGGCACAGGGGCACAGTCAAGGGACTGTAGGGTTTCAGGATGGCTGGGGCACAGGGTGGTGACACAAAAGGAGGCATGAAGTGCAGGGAGGGGGAGAGCCAGGGCTATCACATGCGACAGAGAGGTCACCCAGGATGGGAACTGAAAAGTGTTGGATTTAGCAACCTGGACATAAGGGCCTATTGCGAGAATAGTTTCAGCCATTTCAAGGAGTTATGGTGATATAAGCTAGATGGTGAGTAACTGGGAAGTAAGGAATAAGACATCCCAAGTGAACAGCTCACTCATTTAAGAAGATTGAAGTGAAATGAAGGAGAGTGGCGATGTGTCATCTGGTAACGAGCGTCTAGATAATGGCACCATCCCAGAGTGGGGTTGGGTTATTCGGTTTTTTTTTTTCCTCTTACGGTAGAAATTTTGAGCTTAGTTATAGGCTTGAGGGGAAGAACTAGAAGTGAGGGAGAGCTTGGAAATATAGGGGGGAGGAGATAAGTGATGGAGTAAGCATTCTGGGAAGCTGGTGAGGGATGGGCACTTGTAGGGTTGGGAACATGTAAAGTTTAGCTTTGGATAGGAGGAAAGAGAGACAGATGGGTAGAAATAGAGATAAGATTGTAACAGTGGGCTTAGGAAGACTGAAGGGAAGGTGTTCTTTTCTGATTGCCTTTATTTTCTCTTGGAATAATGATGAGGTCTGCTGCTGAGAGCAGCTGTGGACCCAGCAAGAGATAAATGGAATCAACGTAATTCCTACAGTGGCTTGATATTTTTCTGGGCGGGAGCAGAAAAGTAGACGGATTAATCCAGAGTGGGGTCTTGCAGTGTGGATACAGCTGAGGACAAGTGGACAAGGCAATTAGCAAGGATGAAGTGACAGGCCATGAGTCTGGACTGAATAATGCAGGAAGTAGAATGAGGCTTTGGTTGATAGATCAGGAAGAAATGTACTGAAGGAAGAAGGCAAGGAGCAGGTATAAAGATAAGAAAGGGCTGGGCACAGTGGCTCATACCTGGAATCCCTGCACTTTGGGAGGCTGAGGCAGGTGGGTCATCTGAGGTCAGGAGTTCAAGACCAACCCTGTCAACATGATGAAACCCTGTCTGTACTAAAAAGCAAAAAATTATCCGGGCATGGTGGTGGGTGCCTATAATCATAGCTACACTCGAGGCCTGAGGCAGGAGAATCACTTGAACCTGGGAGGCAAAGGTTGCAGTGAGCCGAGATCGTGCCACTGTACTCCAGCCTGGGCAACAAGAGTGAAACTCCGTCTCAAAAATAAATACATAAATAAAAATTAAAAAAAAAAAAAAGAGAAGACAGGAATGAGGGTATGAGAAGGACCAAAACTGTTGTCAGGAAGTAGGACATTAGAGTTTACACCTTCCAGGCTAGAGCAAATCTTCGTGGTGAGAAAGTCCAAGGTGTGGTCTTGGCTGTGAGTAGCTAATTGGAGTGGAGTGAATAGCCCTGGAGTTGAAGGTATCAGGGTATTGTAAGGTTAGGACATTGGATAGATAGTTCATTCATATTAGTGCTGAGATCACACAGAATGAGAGGAAGATATGGGAGCAAGAAGAAGCTGCTGAACTGGGAGCTGAGGTCCTTGATGAGTGGAGAGGACTGACCTTCACTCCACTCATCAAGTGGAGAGCAGCGTCGTGGGTGACAGAGACAAGAGAAGAAGAAGCTGATTGGCTGAAGGCAGAAACAGTTTTTGCTGAGATGGAGGCATAATTGTGCCTTCTACATTTATTGAACTAAATTGAACCAAAGTGCTATGTTAGTCCCAGGAAATGCCAGAGTCGGCACCAGCTGCCATTTTCTAGAAAAATCCCAGAACAGACATTAAAGTCAGCACTGAAAGAGCATTGTCTACCTAGAAAGAGCTGTCAAGTCAAGATGAGACCCAGAGAAGAGAGGTCAGCAGGTGGACTAGGGGGCCATTACTCTGGGCTCTACCAGGCCCGTATCTTGCCCTGACAATTTCAGTCTTCCTCTCCCCCTCTGGGGAACCGTCAGTGCCGGCTCTCTGCTCCATGACACATCCTGGCAGGAAAAGTCAGCCAGCCATCTTGGGCTGGCATCATTCCCAGGAGAAGCCAGAGCAGAGGCTTTGAGAGATGAAGCTGCAGGAAGCACATTTCAGCGCCCTTCTCCACGGAAGAGCAAGGGCTTATTAGCCAAAACGATCATCTTCCCAGGCCTGTGCTCAGACCAACTTAAAAATCACCTGGGCTGTCTCTCCACCCTTTCAACCAGGAGTACAAGTTGCTTCCTGCTCAGACAGAACCCACCCTAACCTCAGCCCTTCTGGAGCATGGGCACCACTCACACATCGCTTCTGCCTGTGAGCGATGTGAATACACACAGGGCGCACCTCCAGGGCGCTGCCGTCGCTTGTTCTTCAGTCTCCTTTGCAGATTCTTTCTCATTAACTTGACCTCTGAAATTTGGAGTGCCCCAGTTCTCAGCCCTTCGTCTCTGTCTCCTCCCCACCTACACTCATTTCCTTTGTGATCTCAAACAGCCTCAGGGCTGTAATGCCATCTAATCACCGAAAAATACCAATGCGTACCAATGTGTATGTCTTCTCCGTGGTCTTCTATTTGGCTGGCGAAAATGTAATTGCGGTTTTTGCCACTGCTTTTTTTTTGAGATGGAGTTTTGCTCTTGTTGCCCAGGCTGGAGTGCAATGGCACAATCTTGGCTCACTGCAACCTCCACCTCCCGGGTTCAAGCGATTCTCCTGCCTCAACCTCCTGAGTAGCTGGGATTACAGGCATGCGCCAACACGCCTGGCTAATTTTGTATTTTTAGTAGAGGTGGGGTTTGCCCATGTTGGTCAGGCTGGTCTTGAACTCCTGACCTCAGGCGATCCACCCACCTAGGCCTCCCAAAGTGCTGGGATTACAGGTGTGAGCCACTGTGCCGAGCCTTGTCATTGCTTTTAATGGCAAAAACTGCAATTACATTTGCACCAACCTAATAGTCTTATACATCCATGCACCTTGCCGGCATCTCTGCTTGGCTATCTCATAGGCATCTCCAACGTAGCATGCTCAAAACTAAAGGTCTGATCCCCTAACTCCTTGCCACACGTGCTCTACCCACAGTCTACCACCATCTTGGTCAATGGGAAGGAGCTCTGTCCTTCCAGCTGCGCAGGCCACATCCCTTGGAATCATCCTGACTCCTCTTCCTCTAAGCCCAATTACAGTCTATCAGCAAATCCTGTCAGTTCTACCTTCAAAAGGTACCCAGAATCTTACTATTTCTCGCTGCTTCTCCACTTGACATCCTGAACCAAGCCATCATCATGTCTTGCTTGGAGATTATTACAGTAGCCTCCTAACTAGAATTGGCTGCACCCCTATTTCAAACAGCAGCCAGAGTGATCCTCTAAATAACATGACGTCTTGAAGATCATGTCACTTCTGCACTCAAAACCAACCAACCATTTTCGATATCATTTGGAATAAAAGCAAAACGCCTTCCAATGGCTGGGAATGACCTGGCCTCCCTCCACCCTCCATCCTCATCTCCTCCTAGTCCCTCCCTCATTCACCTTACCAGCCTCCTTGTCACTTCTCAAACATTTTAAGGATGCTCCCGCCTCCAGATCTTTGCACTTGCTATTTCCTCTGCCTAGAGCATGCTTCCCTGGTGTCCACATGATTTGCTGTCTCCTGTAATGCAAGGCTTTGTTCAAATGTCATTCTTCTCACTGAGGCTATGTAAAATATACACCATGTAAGACAGCAGCATCCATTGTGGTCCTTTACTCTCTCCATTTCTCTCTCTAGACTTATCTTCTGAGACCACATGCTTATGAACTCCGTGAAGGGAGGGACATTCTGTCCTTGCCCACAGAGGGTCTTAATAAATATCTGTGGGACCAATGCAATTCAATATACTTGGTTGTGGGGAAACCTCAGAATTCTGCCAACCTCTGGATGCTAGCACTAGAATGGCAGTTTTTATAATGGAACCTTCTCTTTCAAGCCCTTACAGAGGTTATGACTTTAATTAAGCAACTAGTCTGTCTGGGCCCTTGCATATTTACATGGCCATATCTCGAATGCTGGCAGAGATGGCTATTGCCTTCCTTTCCTTTGCTTCCTGGTTCTTGGAAGACAATCATCAGTGGCTAGTGGCCTCGCCTGTAGGTGAGCATAACTATTAAACACCAGCCCTCAGCACAGATTGCTGTTGTAGTTATTCTTTTATAGCCCAAAGGAATATGTTACGATCTTCTTGTAACTCTGTGAGTCTCTTGGCCAAGTATGTTTAAACGACGTAGCAAATGTCTCAGTGTGAACTTCCTACTGATCAGGTTTTCAGGAGACTTGAGTTCTGGTCCTAACTCTATTGTGGAATTGCCACAATTCTGGGTACTTCCTTGAATTCTCTAGTATCTTCGTTGGGGAAAATGTGTTTTTTTGGAGTAGATGGTCACTAAAACCCTTTCTTGATCTAAAATTGTGGCTTTCTCAGAACAGAAGAGCTCCTATTTATGAGTCACCAGAAACACATGATTATCTCTTTGGTTTTCCCATTACACACAAAAGCCTTTTTTTGTGACTTTTGTATCTGTCAGGGCTTTTTCATTTGTTAGGGGCAGAAACCCAGCTCAAACCAACTAAAGGAAATAAGGGGTTTATTGGCACCTATAGCTGGAATTTCAGGGCTGGAGCCTCCCTGGCAAGCTGAATCCCAGGGCTCCCAGAATACAAGGAGGACCCAGTCTCACTCTGTCTTCTGGCTTCACTTTCTCCTGTGTTGGTTTCACTTTCAGGCAGGCTCTGTCCACGTGAGGACCCCAGCAGCAGTGACACAACATCTGCCACCTTCAAATGCAAGAGAAAAAGGGCTTCCTCCTGATAATTTTGGGATCTTTAAAAAACAGTCTCATTGGTCTCGTCTGAGCCCTGTGTCCTTTCCTGAACCAGGGGAATGGAGAATTGTCCGATCTCTTGGCTGGATCTCTGTCACAGCCCAACCCTCAATGGAGTGACAGTAAAGGTGGGGCCGGCGTACCCAACCCACACAGGCTGAGAGCGGCAGAGGGTAGATGTCAAAAGGAAACCTGGGCTATTAGCAGAAGAAGGGAGAGTGGATGATGGGCAAGTAAAAATAATAATGGACATTTATTTCAGTCCTCATTGAGGTTCTTTTTTTTTTTTTTTTTGAGACAGAGTCTTACTCTGTTGCCCAGGCTGCAGTGCAGTGGTGCGATCTCAGCTCACTGAAACCTCCACTTCCCAGATTCAAGAGATTCTTGTGTCAAAGCCACCTGAGTAGCTGGGATTACAGGCGTGTGCCACCAAATAATTTTTGTGTTTTTAGTACAGACAGGGTTTCACCATGTTGGCCAGGCTGGTCTCGAACTCCTGATCTTAAGTTATCCACCCACCTTGGCCTTCCAGAGTGTTGGGATTATAGGTGTAAGCCACCGCACCTGGCCCTGATTGAGTTATGATTTCTTGTAGGTACTGTATTAATTTCTCATGGCTACTGTAACAAATCACTACAAATTGGGTGGTTTAAAACAACTGAAATTTATACACTCACAGTTCAGGTGTGAAATCAAGGTGTCGGCAGGGCTACACTCGCTCTGGAAGCTCTAGGGGGAAATGTACTCTTTGTCTCGTTGAGTTTTGGTGGTTGCCAACATTCCCTGACTCCTGGCCACATCACTCCAATATCTGTTTTCATGGTCACATGACTTCCTCCTCTTCTATTAAATTTCTTATGTCTCTCTTATGAGGACATTTATCATTAGATTTAGTGCCCACCCCAGTAATCCAGGATGATTTTCTCATCTTAAGATTCTTACCTGTAGCTGCAAAGACCTTTTTCCAAATAAGGAAACATTAACAGATTCGAGGGATTTGACCCAGATAGTAACCCTGTCACTCCACTGAGGGTTGGGCTGTGACAGAGATCCGGCCGGAGGAGCTGTTTTTTTTAGCTTACCACAGATATCAAACCAGAAATAGTAATGTTGAAGTGATTAAGACATCAGAATGTAATGGAGGTTCAGAATAATTTATATATATTACTGATATATTTTATCCAAATGCTTGGTTGCCTTTTAAAGAGATAAAAGAGGTCAGACGCAGTTGCTCACTCCTGTAACGCCAGCATTTTGGGAGGCTGAGGTGGGATCATTGCCTGAGTCCAGGAGTTCAAGGTCACAGTGAGTTATGATTGTGCCACTGTATCACCTCACCTGGGTGACAAAATGAGATCCTGTTTCTAAGCAAATCAATAAATAAAAAGTTTGAAAGAGATAAAAAACATTTGCTGTGGGGAGAAAAGCAAACAGCTGAATTTCTGACTTAGTTGCCAGCCATGTATGATTTTCATTTTAATATGTCAACCCTCCTTCTCTCTTCTAGGTAATTGTTGAACCAGCAGCTGCTTTTATTTGGGTTTCTACTCTTTTTCTACATATCTTTAGTGCTTTTGCTAAAATGTCATTACCAGCAGTATCGATACTAATCATAATTGATAAATAACAAGTAGCATGTGAAAAGTCACTAGCAAGAATACACCACAGTTAGGAAAATATTTTCAAACCTGATTTCTTATTTCAAATGAGTAATAAACATTCAAAAGTCTGAGCCACTGGCCTTTTCTCATCTAGGTAAATGTCCCTAGGAACCCGGGGCTAGAGTAGACATTAAACAAGACAAAAACCTTGTGGAAAAAGAGATCAACAGGAGCTCAAAGAAGACAGTGGTGTGATACATGTTTCCAAGTAGATGTCGTCTGGTCCCCTGCTTCCGCCCACATTCAGCACCAACAGCTGCCCTTACTGGTTGCTCAGGTTGGACTGGGAGTGCACTGGTTGCTGGTATTTTCCCTTGAGGCATCTTGGCAGCAACACTGGCAGTTTATATTCTTGACCATCACAGGGGCTAGGCAGGTGGCTCTGTGCTTTGTCAGTAGTGTGAGTCCTGTAGGTGTTTCATACAGCTGGTGACTGGGGATTGCAGCCTGGCAGAGTCTGCTCCCTTGATCTGCTAACTTTTCCCAGTTCAAGAATGAAGGGGCACCGAGACCTTCATTTGTGCTTCCCAGGTGCAGCTCTGCTTTATTGTCAAATGAAGCTTTCTTCACTAGAAATTTGTAGGCTCTGAGAAGAGAGAAATAATTTGGACATTGCGGGCCTCTGCTTGTCTTCTGCTTCTGGAGAATGGACTCACCCTAGATGTGGCACCCAAGCCAACATGGTGAAACTCCGTCTCTGCTGTATATGTTGGCAGAGTAAATTTCCAGTGTTGGAGTGTGACTGATGTAATGAAAAGAGCTCTGGCCTGAGACATTGGTGAGTGGATCCTTTTCAGCCACCATCTGTCTCAGTGACCTTGACCAGCCCCTTTCCCTTCTCTGTTCCTCACTTGCCATATTCAAAACAAGAGGATTGGACTAGATGTTCTCTGAGGCATCTCCTAGCTTTACCACATTATACCCTCCAGGCTGAGCGTTTGGGACCCATGAGAAGGATCACTGGCGTTTCTTTTGCTAGGAAGATCTCCCCCGACATACCCTGATGATGCTGATGGTTATAGTCAGAGTGCCCCTAAATAAAGTCCAAAAGTACAGGATTGTGGTTAGAATTAAGAGTAGTTCCCAGTTATGATCATATCCAGCATTCATCAAATGTTAATTGGGCCGGGCATGGTGGCTCATGCCTGTAATCCCAGCACTTTGGAAGGCTGAGGCAGGTGGATCACTTGAGGTCAAGAGTTTGAGACCAGTCTGGTCATCATGGTGAAACCCCATGTCTACTAAAAACACAAAAAAATTAGCCAGATGTGATAGTGAGTGCTTGTAGTCCCAGCTACTCAGGAGGCTGAGGTGGGAGAATCACTTGAACCCGGGAGGTGGAGGTTGCAGTGAGCCGAGATCATGCCACTGCACTCCAGCCTGGGGGATAGAGCTAGACTCCGCCCCAAATAATAAAAAAAAAGTGTTACTTGGGTGCCGCAGGCAGCTGCCAGGGCTATAAAGAGATAAGATGGAGTTCCTGCCCCAAGGAGCACACAGTCCAATGGAGGAGACAGATGACTAAATAAAGGATTGCATTACAGTGTGCTAAGTGCATGACACATAGAGGAAGGACATCTAAATCTCTCTGGGGTAGTGTCAGGAATGGCTTCCTGGAGGAGGTGGCACATGGGTGGACACTGAAGGGATGAGTAGGGATTACCTATGTGGAATGGGGATCAAATCTACTAGAATGCTCACAAAAAGTATGTTCGTCCAACAGATACTTGCCAACTGTCATGGAACACATTGCTCCCTTTAAAGATAGGTGTCTCTCTCATTGTCTAATTATTCTCTTGGGTCTGGTACATAGAATGGAACAGTATGTACCTACATGGAGCCCCAGGGGCAGATTTGGAGTAAGCTAGGAAAGCCAAATGGACCCTAACATTTTTTTCTTTTTTGAGACCAGGTCTCACTCTGTTTCCCAGGCTGGAGTGCAGTGGCAGGTTCACAGCTCACTGCAGCCTCTACTTCCCAGGCTCAAAATGATCCTCCTGACAGTGTTCTGAGTTGCTGGGACTGCAGGCTCATGCCACCACGTCCAGCTAATTATTATTATTTTTTTTTTGTAGTGACGGGGCCTTGCTATGTTGCCTAAGCTGGCCAACTTTGATATAGACCCTGAGCTGGCAGAACTGTGGGCACCAGCAATACCATTGTTTTGGTGTACCAGTATGAAATGCTTGCATCCGCATTCTGTACACATAACACATTCGCTTTTTTCTCTATTTTTCTTCGTTTTCCCTTTTCTATTTCTGGTGCAAGTTAGGGGGAACGGAAAGGAGGGACACAAATGATGTTGGTTTCTGAGTATTTCTAAGGTTTCCCTGTGATTCTACTTAGTCATGGCAAGCTTCTTAGAGGAGGTGCTGGGAAAGAAAGGTTAAAAACTAGCTCGACTAATCAGACTGGCATCCGAGCTAGAAGAGGCTCCCGGGGGCCCCTCGCTGCTCACAGCCCCGCCACGCTCCCTTGCCTTTGACCTTTGTTCCTCTGCTAACCTCCCACCAAGTAGAACCAGGTTTGATCACTTCCCCCTTTCCGTTCAGTGGCTGGGCAAGTCCATGAGGTTCCCGATTCAAAGCACTTTCAGTCGGACTGGTTCCCTGCGCGGGGCGCCTGGACTGGGGACTTGGGGCTGCCGCGAGTTCCCGGGGCTGTGAATTACCTTCCGAGGCGGCGGCGCGGCTCCGCCCCCGGCCCCGCCGGTGGTTCAAGTGCGAGATCAGAGCTGGGAGCGGAGAGGCAACACCCTTGCTCGCACTGCAACCTGCTCCCTTCGGGGAGGGATCCTCCCCGCTCCAGCGTCTTCTCGCCGGGCTCCCCCAGGCTGGCGGGCAGCAGAGCCAGGAGGAGCGGAGACCCAGCGCTGCCCGTTAACAGTCCCGGCAGGAGGGGCATCGTAATTACTCACCGCGCTGATTGCCCGTCATTAAAGTTCGGGAAACGGTCCGAAGAGGAGCTTCCAGTCGAGGAGGAGGAGGCAGGTGGCGTCTGGGGCTCCCGGCCGGCCAGGGTTAAGCGCCTGCTTGCTCCCTGCCGCCCGGCTTGCGGCCAGCGCGTCTTCGGTGGGAGGCCAGCCACTGCCAGGGACCCGGGAGCGACGCCGCCAGCCCGGCCGGACCCCCTCCCCCATCACGGCCTCTAGGAGTGCGCAGCAAGTGGGGGTTCCCAGGTACCAAGCCCCTTGCCCAGCCGGCGCCTGGGGGCACGGAGAGCCAGAGGGGCTGCAGGGACACCGAGATGGCCGATGAGATTGACTGGCTGGACCTGCCCGGCCGGTGGGCCTACGGAGTTGACCGCGGTGGGAGAATCTTCTTCATCAAGTATGTTGGTCTCACTCTTCTTTTTATTTCAATTTTTTTCTTTTAAGTTGTCCAACTTGAAAAGTGGCAGGGCTGGGGGCAGGCTGGAGAAGGTGGGTGAAGCGGTGGCCGGAACAGCGGGCATGACTAATAAGTTTATCACTATGCCTGTTTGAATGTGTCTCCCGCCTTTTCCTCAATGGGTCAAAGTCCAGCAAAGGCTTGGAAAGGCAGGGCAGGGCAGGGGAGGTGCTGCCCTTTCTCCCTCTCCCCGTGGTCACATGAGAGGCCTCCAGGAGAATGACTAGACCAATGCCCAGCCTGGAGTTTTTTCAGCTCCTTCCCTGAAGGGACTGGAGGTAGGTCTTTTATTTCCCCCCAGTCTTTCCTACGGGAAGACTTGGGGTGAGTGACAACATACCAGGAGATCCTGCCTCTACCACCCGGTTCCTGGCAACCCTCACCCCAGACTCAGCTTGCCCAGGATAGCAGTCCCTTTCCTGTCCTGCTTCTTTATGGGGCTGTGGTCAAGAGGGAGGGGGAAGATGCCCATTATATGTTTAGCATTCTTGAGAGAGAGCGCCTTTGCTACTCTCAGTCGTATATTAGCACTGTTATATTAATTCCATAAACCAAAATGGCTCTGGCATAATCTCATTATAACAAAGTGGCCCTGCTGGCTTTCTTGGCTCGCTTCTGCTGTAGTCATCTTTTGCCAGGATAGACATCTCCCAGAAATATAGCAAGTCCAGAAGCACAGCGTCTTGGACTGTTACCCACACTTGACGAGCTTTTCCTTCCTCAAGATAGCCACTCACAAAACATCAGAGCTGGAAGGAATCTTAGACGCAACCCCTTCATTTGTCAGATGGGGAACCGAGGTCCAGGGAGATTGAAAGTACCGGTCTAAGACACGAGCGCTTGTTAATCAGAGCTCAGACTCAGCCCAGCAGCTGCTGACTTAGTGCACTGCTTCCCTGTGTACCAGACTGCCTTTGCAGGGGCTCAGAGAGGCAGTGGTGTCTCCTTGGTGTTTCTAAGTTTTCACATTTGCTTTAGGTCTTTCTTCTGTAATTATCACCGCCATGATCATAATTGATGTTGTAATTATATTAACTTAGAAATTAACTCCACTAAAGTTCTTGACCCTAAGTCAGATTCTTAAATAACAGAATTTCTGCAATATTAAAACTGCAGTGGCTTGAGACTTTAGAGTTTACAAGACTCACACAAGAAACTTATTTAAAAGGTGGATTCCTGAGCCCTACCTCAGGAGATTCCTATTCAGAGGATCTGGGGGAGGGCCTTCGAATGTGAATTGCCACGAGCCCCTCAGGTATACTGAGGAAGTGGTTCATTCTCTTGTTTCTTCCCAATCTCTTACTTACCGTCCAGCTTCTTTTCATCTTTCATTCTACAAACATCTATTGGGCATCCACTATTTGCTGCAGTGCTTGGCACTGGAGATAAAAAACACCCTTTAAGGTAACAGGGAGAAAACATAAATCAATACTTAGGAAATAATATGGTATTTATTCTTAATCTTGAGGCATTTTCATGATGCTCTAAGAAGGAAAGAACTAATGGTCTCCAGGGAGTTCAGCGAGGGCTTCCTGGAGGAGGAAGCATTTGAGTTGATTCTGGAGGAGAGACAAGAGTGAAAGAAGCCTTGGAAATAGAGGCCTGGGGAAAGAAAGACACCAATAAGTGCTGGGGCACAGGTAACCTAGAGCACTCGGAGAGGTTCGGTGGAGATGGAGTGGAGCTCCTGGGATACTGTAGAGGACCAGGCAGAAAAAGTAGGAAGAGGCAGCTTGAGAGAGCCCTTATGTGCTAGGCTTAGGGGTCTGGACTCCATCCTGTAGGCGATGGGAAGCCAAAGGAGATTTCAAACCCGGGCCTGCCATCCTCAGATCTGCGTTTAGAGCCATCTCGCTGGCAGCTGCACGGGCAATGATTTGAGGGCCGAGCGAGAGGCAGGAGGAGAAACTTGAGGTATGGAAAGCAGTTAGGAAACAATTGCAAAAGTCCCGGAGACAGCCGATGGGGCCCGAATTAAAACGGTGAGAAGTGAAGGGGAGGGAGAGATGGGAGAAATCTTCAGCAATCAAATCAGGAGTGTTGATCGAATGCTTAAATTCCAGGGAGGGGAGACGAAGGGAAGAATCAAAGCTAAAGCTTAGAATTTCTAGCTTGAGTTGGACAGAGATCAGGAGCGTGGTAAGAGGAGCACATTTTAGGGGAGCAGAGGTTTAATGCGGAAACACTGAAGTTGAGGTCCCCGGGGGACATTCAGGGCGTGCTAACAGACATCTGGATATACAGGATGAAGTTTGAAGAGACAGGCCTGGGCTGGAAGGAGTCACCCTGTGGGGGTAGAACCACCCAGAAGAGTGTAAGGGAAAAGACAGGAGGACCTCCAGGCAGAAGAGCGGCCAGGGTGGAAAGTAAGACCGAGGGGTGGCAGAGGTGAGTGGCACCAGGACCAGAGGAGGAATGCCGCCCCAAGGCAAGGAAGAGGGATGCTAAGAAGAACAGAAGGAAGGAAATCAGCAGTACTGGGTACAGCAGAAAGGCCAAAGGCTAAGAATGTCTACTGGATTCAGGAGTGAGGGAGGCCTTTAAGGACGTCTAGGAAAGTGGTTTCAGGAGAGGGCCGAGGACAGAAACCAGATTGCAGTGGACTGGCGAATGAAAGGCCAGGAAGTAGGGAAAGCTAGGAGGGACTGGTGTCCAGTGTTCGGTCAGGAGTGAGGAGTGGGTGACAGGAAGCTGCCAGGTGCCATGGCATTGAGAGGCAGGCAGAGTGCTGAGACTACAGAAGACATGGACAGGGGAGGAGGGAAAAGGGATGGGCCACGTAAAAGGAAAGGAGGTAAAGACGCAAGGCTGGGATGCTCAATAGATGGAGGTTCGATAAAAGACGGAGGCGGAATAACCCAGGCAGAGAGATTAGCCTTAAAGGGGAGAGAAGGCTGCCTCTTCTCTGGTGGAACACGAGTATTAAAGGATGGGTGAGAATCTAGGTACATTTTGGGGGCGAGGTGATTGGGTGCGTTGGGAAAGCTCCCACTTAATCATTTCTATTTTTTCTTCAATTAAGAGATGAGATCCTCTGTGCGGGAGAGGGGCTGGGTCGCAGAGGCAGGCCTGGATCTTGAGGTTAGCAGGAAAACCTTGGAGCTCTCTGCAGGGGGCAACTGACTGGGGACCTTGAAGAAGATTCTAGGTGGTGCTCAGGGCTCAGCTAAGCTGAAGGCTGGATTTGCAGTGACCCCAGTTCTCCCAGGCAGTTTCCCCATCAGCTCAGTGCTGGAGTAGAGACAGCCTGTGACTGCATTGTCCCAGGTGGGGGGCAAACAAGGGGAGCAAGATGGTGCAAGGACAAGGGGAAGAGGAAGTCGAGGGTTGTGGTGGGATGTCAGGGGTGGGATGGTGTTGTCCGTGATATCCCATGCGGTGGAGAGAGATGAGAAGTCTGAGGGGGCCGACAGTGTGTGCGGAGGGTAGAGTCAGGGGCTGGAAAGTCTCAGGAGAGAAGTAAAGGAGGCGAAGGCACTGGCTGACTTTCTCCCCAGATCCTTCCATTTTTCTTTCCAGGAACAAGTGCGCTTTATTGAACGCCATTGTAGAAAAGTGTGTGAGGATAAAGGGCTGATCCAGGACTCGGCTCGGGGGCGGGGAGAGGAATGGAAGGTGGGGTACGTGGGAAACAGGTCACAGGCAGGGCCCCTGGCCTGGATGATTCCTCTCGATCTATTGATAGGCTTGCAAGATCAGTACTGGGATGATGATAAGCAGAATGGTCATAACGATGCCCAGAATCAGGGCCCAGATGTTCAGGCACTTGCCGGTGGAGGCATCAGTCTGGGCCCCGGTCAGGTCACCAACCATCTTCCTGACTCTAGACTTCACGGAGTAGGTGAACGCTATGAAGCCCAGGCAGCAGGAGTTCATGAAGAGGGTGTTGAACATGGAGGTCTCGCTCCAGATGTGGATCACGGTGGATGATGGGGGAGCAGGGTTGTGGGGCACCCCCAGCACATCCACCTCGTGTTCCTCCTTCAGCATCTCATAGTTGGGGGGACAGTCAGTGTTGGCAGAGTGAAGATTTGGACAGCGTGGTTCATGGTGTCCAGGGAAGACCAGCCATGGTTGGGTTGCTGGCATGGTTCTCAGTGGGCCCTGCCTTTCCCCACTAGTTTCGATTTCTCAGCCATTTCCTTTCCCTGGCATGTGTCCCACCCTTCCTTTTTATTGGCTTCCTCTTCCACTGCCTCCCAGGACCAAAGCCAAGACCAGAGACCCAGTATTTAGAGTCTTCTTCAATGGTGCCAAAGCTCAGAGGCCACTAGAGCAGTGACTTTGTTTTTTTCTCTGCTTATCAGAGGAGTAGGTTAGCTGGGTGATCTCTTCCTGTAGCAGGTGTCCAACCTTAGGGAGGATCAGTAGAGTCAATAGAAAAAGAAGCCTATGTTCATACCAACACTAGTACACAAATGTTCATAGTAGCTTTATGGGTAATGGCCCCGAACTGAAAACAACCCGTAAGTTCGGCAACAGGTGAATGGATGACCACACTGTGGTGTTTCCTACAATGGAATACTATTCAGCAATCAAACGGAATGAAGGATGGCCACATGGCACAGACGGAAAAAAGCATGGAAGTCAGGGTGCTGTGGTTTACGGTGTAATCCCAGTGCTTTGGGAGGCCGAGGCAGGAGGATCACTTGAGATCAGGAGTTTGCAACCAACCTGGGCAACATAG